TCACTGACATTGCCATTAACTTGGTGCTGGTGCCCGGGTCCCCATTTTAAGGTAAAAGATTATTAAGTAAGGTTTTGATGAAATCAGATGTGTTTGGCTAAAAGGTGCATATATCCCAGCCTAGCTGTAAACTACAACACAGTGTGCTAGACATCCTTAAGGGCAAACGCAGAATACTGCCATCAATAGACATATACCACCAAGAATGTTTATGTTAATTCCACTACTCAGCATCTAGCCGAGCAAATATCTTCTCTCTAATTATGTTAAGCTATTATATTTACAATAACTTGATGTGAGAAAAAGAGAGTAACCATGGAGAATATGGACTGACGAAATTAAAGATGGATTTAAAGCCTTCAGATGGAATGACTATAGCAGTGCTACCCAGTTAGTGTTGGCAACAGACTGTCCCTCTTCTTTAGTCCTACATTGTCTTTCAGTATCAAATTTTGAAGAGGCATCATGTGAGAGTCTTCACATGTGCTTCTAGTAACTCGTGTTTACATCCATCCATCTATTGTCTCAGTGGTCAACCTCTGGTTCTGCTTCCATAATGTCTAAGTAACAGGGATTTCTGTGGTGCACTTTCAGTGGTAGTTTAACATGTCCGAACCATTTCATCTGTTGTTTCTTGACTGATGTAGTCTAATACTGGTTCCATCCCAACTTCTTTCCTGATATCATCATTTCCAATCCTCTCTTGTCTAGTTACGTTTAGGGTCTGTCATAGACATTTCATTTCTTTTGTGTTTTGTGTATGTGTGTGTGTGTGTGTGTTCCTCCTGACATTTAACAGATGGTGGTGACGACGGCAATAGAACAAATGGAAGTTGGTGACGATGATGGCAACAGAACAAATGGAAGTTGATGGTGGTGACGATGGCAATAGAACAAATGGAAGTTGATGGTGATGATGATGGCAACAGAACAAATGGAAGTTGATGGTGGTGACAATGGCAATAGAACAAATGGACGTTGATGGTGATGACGATGGCAATTGAACAAATGGAAGTTGATGGTGGTGACAATGGCAATAGAACAAATGGAAGTTGATGGTGGTGATGATGGCAATAGAACAAATGGAATTTGATGGTGGTGACCATGGCAATAGAACAAATGGAAGTTGATGGTGGTGACAATGGCAATAGAACAAATGGAAGTTGATGGTGGTGACAATGGCAATAGAACAAATGGAAGTTGATGGTGGTGACAATGGCAATAGAACAAATGGAAGTTGATGGTGATGACGATGGCAATCGATGTCATTACACACTGTTTTTCACTAAATATCTCAAGATTTTCAATCTGCATCAAGTCAGATTTTTATTTAAATTGACCGTAGCTTCCCGGTCGACACAGCCTAAATAACAGGTACCAAATGTCCTGGAAAGTAAAGGCGGCCTACCTGTTGTTGACCACATCACCTATTGAGTGCTGACTGGTCAATTAAACAATGATTCCAACAACATATACCCAACAGGCCACTGCTATAACAACTGGTTAAACAATGATTCCAACAACATATACCCAACAGGCCACTGCTATAACAACTGGTTAAACAATGATTCCAACAACATATACCCAACAGGCCACTGCTATAACAACTGGTTAAACAATGATTCCAACAACATATACCCAACAGGCCACTGCTATAACAACTGGTTAAACAATGATTCCAACAACATATACCCAACAGGCCACTGCTATAACAACTAGTTAAACAATGATTCCACCAACATATACCCAACAGGCCACTGCTATAACAACTGGTTAAACAATGATTCCAACAACATATACCCAACAGGCCACTGCTATAACAACTAGTTAAACAATGATTCCACCAACATATACCCAACAGGCCACTGCTATAACAACTGGTTAAACAATGATTCCAACAACATATACCCAACAGGCCACTGCTATAACAACTGGTTAAACAATGATTCCAACAACATATACCCAACAGGCCACTGCTATAACAACTGGTTAAACAATGATTCCACCAACATATACCCAACAGGCCACTGCTATAACAACTGGTTAAACAATGATTCCAACAACATATACCCAACAGGCCACTGCTATAACAACTGGTTAAACAATGATTCCAACAACATATACCCAACAGGCCACTGCTATAACAACTGGTTAAACAATGATTCCACCAACATATACCCAACAGGCCACTGCTATAACAACTGGTTAAACAATGATTCCAACAACATATACCCAACAGGCCACTGCTATAACAACTAGTTAAACAATGATTCCACCAACATATACCCAACAGGCCATTGCTATAACAACTGGTTAAACAATGATTCCAACAACATATACCCAACAGGCCACTGCTATAACAACTGGTTAAACAATGATTCCAACAACATATACCCAACAGGCCACTGCTATAACAACTGGTTAAACAATGATTCCACCAACATATACCCAACAGGCCACTGCTATAACAACTGGTTAAACAATGATTCCAACAACATATACCCAACAGGCCACTGCTATAACAACTGGTTAAACAATGATTCCACCAACAACATATACCCAACAGGCCACTGCTATAACAACTGGTCCTTTACTTACTTTACAATCTACATAGAATCGACATAAACAGACCAACACAAGACTGAGCTTGCCAGGAAATTATAATTTTACTAACTCAGAAAAAAAAAACATATCATAACTGAGAAGGTAATAACATTAACAGTGAGGTTTATATCAAATAAGGATATGGATAGTCACCATAAAGAAGAGAGGTATTTCTCCAACAAAATACGTCATTACATTTATCTGGACTAATTAAGTGTTCATTCACAACCTTTTCTATTTTAGCATAAACAGTTGAGGTATCCTTAGGTCACGACATTATCTTAGCGTAATTAGAGATTCTTTTTGTCAAAAACTCTTTATTTCATTCAGATTTAAACAGTCTGAACTATTCTTGTGTGTTATTTCATTCAGATTTAAAGTCAAAACTATTCTTGGTGTTATTTCGTTCAGATTTAAACAGTCTAAAACTATTCTCTGGTGTTATTTCAATCAGATTTAAACAGTCGGAACTATTCTTGTGTTTTTTTCATTCAGATTTAAACAGTCTGAACTATTCTTGTGTTTTTTTATTCAGATTTAAACAGTCCGAAATATTCTTGTGTTTTTTCATTCAGATTTAAACAGTCTAAACTATTCTCTGGTGTTATTTCAATCAGATTTAAACAGACCGAACTATTCTTGGGTGTTATTTCATTCAGATTTAAACAGTCTGAACTATTCTCTGGTGATATTTCATTCAGATTTAAAGTCTGAACCATTCTCTGGTGTTATTTCATTCAGATTTAAACAGTCTGAACTATTCTCTGGTGTTATTTCATTCAGATTTAAACAGTCTGAAACAGTGTTATTTCATGAAAACTAACTCTTCTCTGGTGATATTTCATTTAGATTTAAAGTCTGAACCATTCTCTGGTGTTATTTCATTAAGATTTAAACAGTCTAAACTATTCTCTGGTGTTATTTCATTCAGATTTAAAGTGTGAACAGTTCCTGGGTGTTATTTTATTTAAACAGCCTGGACTGTTCTTGGGTGAGACTTTCATGGTTAAGTAGATAAGCTCTTACTTGAACTGTTAAGGTATTCGCGGTGTCATCTTTATCTTGGTACAATTAGAGTTTATATTTGCTGAAAAACAGTTATTGCATTCAGATGTAAACAACCAAGAATATTCTTGGTTGAGACTTTTGCAGCTAAGGAGATGGGCTCTTACTTGAACTGATGAGGTATTCTTGGTGTCTTGTCTTTATCCTGGCATAATTAAGTATCCATGAGTTAGTGTACAACAAACAGTTCTTTTTCCCTATTCAGATTTCAAAAGCCTACAATGTTCTTTTCAAGACTTTCATGGCTAAGTAGATGACTTCTAACTTCAACTGTAGAGGTATTCTTGGTGTCTTGTCTTTATCTTGGCATAATTAAGTATCCATGAGTTAGTGTACAACGAGTTAGTGTACAACAAACAGTTCTTTTTCCCCATTCAGATTTCAAAAGCCTACAATGTTCTTTTCAAGACTTGTATGGCTAAGTAGATGACTTCAAACTTCAACTGTAGAGGTATTCTTAGTGTCAAGCCTTTATCTTGGAATAATTACGTTTCCTAAGTAAAAGCACAATAGTTTCTCACTTCATTCAAACTTGAACTGCCCAGAATGTTCTAATGCTAGACATCTAGGATCAATCTGAACAAAGGCTACAGCACCTCATGTTTTTCAACATCACGCCAGCCAGCTTTACTTCCTACGTCATTACCTGCTGCCCATTTAAGTCTTGGCCGACCGTGGAAGCAATTTAAGAAACAAAATCCAGCTCAATGAGGATTTGAACCCAAGACCTCTGGGTTGGCAGGCAAGCGACTGTCTACTACTCTACTGTGGCTCCCTACCCTCATTCTTCCTACATTATTCTAGCAAAATAGATTGTTTTTCATATCATTTTTCCACAAAAACACACTATTTTTTGGGGGGTTGCAAACACTTCTGGAACTCTTTTTCTTCTTTGCTGTCTCCTGCTGTAAACTCCGGTAGAAAGTTCTGGTTGTTCATTCACTTCTGGACTTTAGTCCTATTCCAAAACTTGAGTGATACATGCACATCTGTTTTACAGATCTGGCTTATCTGTATGCAGACTGTTGGTTCCCTGCCTCTCAGCAGATGCACTCCGGCTTCAAAGAAAACTACTAATTAGTCGACTCTTATGACATGCTAGTTAGAGGGGTAGTGGGTCTATTCTTGTTTTCCCCCACAAAGGGGCCCCCGTATCCTATGGGGACCTCCTGGAAATGAAAGAACAAAACAAACCATAGGAACATAAGCAAAACAACATCTGATGCCAGTGAATGTGCCGTCAATAAATGCTTTTCTGCAGATGTAGATCCTTAAAGATCAACAGTTGAGACAAAAATCCACTCTCCAATGCTAACCAAACCAGGTGTGACTCAGAAGCCAACCTTCCCTAAGCGGCTGTCAGTTTTCGGGTCAGCAGTTATCTTCTGCACTGCCACGATGGCTGAGTTGATCTTGGTCTGCAAATCTCGTAGATCTCGAATGTGCAACAACCTCAGAATTTTTGCAGCTTCTGTCATTATATAGTCTGAAAAAAAAAAAAACTGTAGACTTACAACACAGGTATAGATAGATTATACAGGGAAAGATAAAGAGTCTTCAGGTAAAGATAGAATCTACAGGTAACGACAGAATCTACAGGTAAAAACAGAATCTACAGGTAAAGACAGAATCTACAGGTAAAAATCGATTCTACAGGTAAAGATAGATTCTACAGGTAAAGATAGATTCTACAGGTAAAGATACATTCTACAGTTAAAGATACATTCTACAGATAAAGATACATTCTACAGTTAAAGATACATTCTACAGATAATGATAAATTCTACAGATAAAGATATATTCTACAGGTAAAGATAGTCTACATGTAAAGACAGCCTACCGCAGAGTTTATTCAACTGGCAGCTCGTGGGCGGATTTGAACCACGAAGGCCTAGCAAGTAGCCAGTAAATCACAGTTACTTATACTGTATAAATGAACTTTCTATGCTGGAGTTTGGGGCCTCTGGTCTGTGACAGTCCCCATTTTCAAAATTCAAGCCCCTGAGAAAACACAGTAGAATAGTTCTGGTCTACAGTAACATGTCCACCAGCTCTTATCTATAAGGGCACATCTGTACAGATTAAAGTCGAGATGACAGATTTTATTGTATTGGGTTTTATCTCATATGTCTCAGTATGCTGAATGGCTTGCTGCATGCTGAGAGTAGAACACAAAGCACAAACTCAGTAGCTCCAGCAATGATCTTCAGGGATCTCCTTAAAATTTGCACCCTTGAACCAATATATTGTGTTCATATAAAGTACCACAATTATAACTGTTATATAAACAGAATGGGGTGCAGAGCCGGTGAACCACATGTGGTGGTGTTCTAGGGCCAAGGCTCCTACTGGTCAAGACCTGCGAACACCTCTGCATGGTCATCCTTGAAACAGGTTTCCCTACTGGGTGGCTGGCCGATGTAGACAGGTTTTCCTACTGGGTGGCTGGCCGATGTAGACAGGTTTTCTTACTGGGTGGCTGGCTGATGTAGACAGGTTTCCCTACTGGGTGCCTGGCTGATGTAGACAGGTTTAACTACTGTGTGCCTGGCCGATGTAGACAGGTCTCCCTACTGGGTGGCTGGCCGATGTAGACAGGTTTTCCTACTGGGTGGCTGGCCGATGTAGACAGGTTTTCCTACTGGGTGCCTGGCCGATGTAGACAGGTTTCCCTACTGGGTGCCTGGCTGATGTAGACAGGTTTCCCTACTGGGTGCCTGGCCGATGTAGACAGGTTTCCCTACTGGGTGCCTGGCCGATGTAGACAGGTTTCCCTACTGGGTGCCTGGCTGATGTAGACAGGTTTCCCTACTGGGTGCCTGGCCGATGTAGACAGGTTTCCCTACTGGGTGCCTGGGAGATGTAGACAGGTTCCCCTACTGGGTGCCTGGCTGATGTATACAGGTTTCCCTACTGGGTGCCTGGCCGATGTAGACAGGTTTCCCTACTGGGTGCCTGGCTGATGTTGACAGGTTTCCCTACTGGGTGCCTGGGAGATGTAGACAGGTTTCCCTACTGGGTGCCTGGCCGATGTAGACAGGTTCCCCTACTGGGTGCCTGGCTGATGTAGACAGGTTTCCCTGCTGGGTGCCTGGCTGATGTAGACAGGTTTCCCTACTGGGTGCCTGGCCGATGTAGACAGGTTTCCCTACTGGGTGCCTGGCTGATGTAGACAGGTTTCCATACTGGGTGCCTGGCTGATGTAGACAGGTTTCCCTACTAGGTGCCTGGCCGATGTAGACAGGTTCCCCTACTGGGTGCCTGGCTGATGTAGACAGGACTGATGTTTCCGTCAAAGTCACAATGCATCTGCCTGAGAAATGGGTAACCAAATGCCTGCACACGAACAAGCCAGATCTGTAAAACGGATGAACACACAAGTTCTGGGACTAGACCAACATCCAGAAGTAAAAAAAAACCAGAACCTTGTGCCAGAATTTAAAGCCGGTGAACGCTAAGAGGAAGAAGCTAAGGCTGAACAAGGTATATGTATTGTCTGAGAACAATTTATGTTGCGAGAGGTGACTAGGAGGGCTGGAATAGGGGTGGCTATTTCTTTCCATAGAAAACTGGCTACACAAACTGACAAATCATGGGCAAGACTACAAAATCTAACCAATGAGGAGCAAGTATACAAATTTGACCAATCAGGAGCGTGCACACAAAAATTGTCTGAACATTAAAGATGACACACTGTATATCCATTTGATACATCTTATATATTATTTAAAATCAAGCAATGAGTCTCGATGACCTGGATATCTTTCATGGCGAATAATTAAGAGAGTTTTTTCCTCTGCCTCATCTACAATGTAATTATAATTTTCACAAGTTGCATATTTTAATATGTGCTACTCTGTGACTTAGATGTTAATGAATGCAGTTCACAATTACACAATCCTTGAGCTACTACGGTTTAATTTCCATGGCCAGATAGTTTATTATGATTTTTTTTTATGCCTTTCTCATGGATTTATTATACTGGTGCAATAGTTGTGCCAAGGAAGGGTTTGAGGCTTGGCTATGTAATGAATATTCCTTAAAACTGCAGTCTGCACAAAGCAGCAAGCCTTCCAGGTAAGAACAGTAAATCTTTAAAAAAAAAAAAATAATTTTATCGCAATAGCCTGTTTTTTGCAACTAAAATGCTACCCTTTTATGAAAAATAGTATATCTTTTTCTTATCTGAAAAATCCATATTAAAAGAATAACAGCATATAAACCAAACTCAACTGTCAGGTGGTAAACCCAGCTTTAAAATAAGAGACAAGATAGTGCTATCAATCAACTGTCAGGTGGTAAACCCAGCTTTTAAATAAGAGACAAGATAGTGCCATCAATCTACTGATCAAAGAGAACAAAATATAATTACCTCCAGCTTCAAAGCCCAGTTCAGTCTTCTCCAGTGGGATATGCTCATCCTAGGGAATGGACAGAGTGTGATAACTATGAGTATTCATTTACAATCATCCTAGGGAATGGACAGAGTGTGATAACTATGAGTATTCATTTACAATATTCATAGGGAATGGACAGAGTGTGATAACTATGAGTATTCATTTACAATCATCCTAGGGAATGGACAGTGATAACTATGAGTATTCATTTACTATCATCCTAGGGAATGGACAGAGTGTGATAACTATGAGTATTCATTTACAATCATCCTAGGGAATGGACAGAGTGTGATAACTATGAGTATTCATTTACAATTATCCTAGGGAATGGACAGAGTGTGATAACTATGAGTATTCATTTACAATCATCCTAGGGAATGGACAGAGTGTGATAACTATGAGTATTCATTCACAATCATCCTAGGGGATGGACAGAGTGTGATAACTATGAGTATTCATGTACAATCATCCCAGGGAATGGACAGAGTGTGATAACTATGAGTATTCATTTACAATCTTTCTAGGGGATGGACAGAGTGTTATAACTATGAGTATTCAGTTACAATCATCCTAGGGAATGGACAGAGTGTGATAACTATGTGTATTCATTTACAATCATCCTAGGAAATGGACAGAGTGATAACTATGAGTATTCATTTACAATCATCCTAGGGAATGGACAGAGTGTGATAACTATGAGTATTCATTTACAATCATCCTAGGGAATGGACAGAGTGTGATAACTATGAGTATTCATGTACAATCATCCCAGGGAATGGACAGAGTGTGATAACTATGAGTATTCATTTACAATCTTCCTAGGGGATGGACAGAGTGTTATAACTATGAGTATTCAGTTACAATCATCCTAGGGAATGGACAGAGTGTGATAACTATGAGTATTCATTTACAATCATCCTAGGGAATGGACAGAGTGTGATAACTTTGAGTATTCATTTACAATCATCCTAGGGAATGGACAGAGTGTTATAACTATGAGTATTCAGTTACAATCATCCTAGGGAATGGACAGAGTGTGATAACTATGAGTATTCATTTACAATCATCCTAGGGAATGGGCAGAGTGTGATAACTACGAGTATTCATTTACAATCATCCTAGGGAATGGACAGAGTAAGATAACTGTGAGTATTCATTATTTATTGAATTTACAGAACTGAAAGATGCTTCTGAAAGAACCGTTTCATAGGTTTTGCTTTGCACTAGTTTAACCAGAGAGGGATTAAAGACCTTGAACCCAATTATGTTGTATGAGAAGACTACTCTGGGGCTTCCTTCAAAGTCGGAGTGCATGTGCTTGAGAGGCAAGGAACCAACAGTCTGCATACAAATAAGTCAGATCAGTGGGAAGGATATACATGCAAAGCTCAAGTTCTGGAATAAGTGAACGAACAATCAGAACTTTATGACAGTGTTTACAGCCGGTGAACAAGAAGAAAAAAAATAATAAATGGGCAAAGATGTGCACAAGATAAATGGCACTCTATTTGAGGAACAGGTAAGGGACACTGACTGAGAAATAAAGAAGACATGGTCTAATCTATTCTTCCTGGTCATCCACAACTGGATCATCTCACCAACATGAAAATAGAATGTCTGCCACCAAACCTGACTTCAGGAACCTAACCTACTGACCAGGACATCATTAAAACATTGAAAGTTTACTATTGGGCCAAGCTTTTTGCAGTGGGTCACTATAAAAGACAGATATCGGCCCACCTGTGGAAGCCACTACTGCATCAGTTAACGCTCCAGAATCTGACCTCTGGATGAGTTTTCCTACATGACTCTCTTTCCCAGAAGGGCTAGTCTGTTGAATCACACAATGCACGGACTCCTTAGCTCCAGTGATGATCTTAACATTTTTCCGTAAAAACTTTATTTGTGAACCAAATGACTGGGTCTGTGAAATGAAGCTATGACCTTCGGAGCATGAGGTAAATGGATTAACCATTTCACCTAGAAGAACTCCCCCCCCCGGTTCCACTTTTTCTCAGCCTGCCTCCAATAATGGTACATAGCACATAAGATGATCTCAATTTTTGTTGACAGATAGAAGACTTAATGAAGATTATTCTTCTCAACATTCACCAGCTGTAAGCTCCAGCGGAAAGTTCTGGTTGTTTGCCCACCTCTGGACTTTGGTCTTGTTCCAGAACCTGACTGCAGTATATGCACATCTGTTTTACACATCTGGCTTATGTGTATACAGACTCTTGGTTCTTTGCATCTCCAGCAGATACACTCAGACTTGGAAGGATGCCCCCAATCAGCCGACTCTATAACATGCTTGCTGGGGAGGCAGTGGGTCTATTCTTGTTTTCCCTAGAAGCCAACATGGGGATAATGAAGATTCAACAGGAGCATCTGCACTTCTATAACATGCTTGCTGGGGAGGCAGTGGGTCTATTCTTGTTTCCCTAGAAGCCAACATGGGGATAATGAAGATTCAACAGGAGCATCTGCACTTCTATAACATGCTTGCTGGGGAGGCAGTGGGTCTATTCTTGTTTTCCCTAGAAGCCAACATGGGGATAATGAAGATTCAACAGGAGCATCTGCACTTACCTTGACATTTTTTTGTCTCTGGGCAGCATCAAGAGCTTCCTGAGAGAACTTCTCGCTGACCAGTACGCAGACGGCCTGAGAAAATTAAGGATGCAGTGTTACCATGTGTGAGGAAATTACCTTACATATGTATATGAGGAATTTAAAACTAGTTTTCTTCTCCTTGTTTGATTCTTTTTGTTTTAAAACAACTGTTCTGTGCCCCTGTTTACAGCAAAGATGCCAAATTTTAAGTTACCTGGCCACACACACAATTCACAGATAATAGAATCAACACCATCAAGTGCTTTGCAGACTGGCATAGGCGATCATGCCACTCCACAATCTGCAACTGTGTGTGTCAGTTTGTGTACTGATGCCCCTCCACAATCTGCAACTGTGTGTATCAGTTTGTGTACTGATGCCCCTCCACAATCTGCAACTGTGTGTATCAGTTTGTGTACTGATGCCCCTCCACAATCTGCAACTGTGTGTATCAGTTTGTGTACTGATGCCCCTCCACAATCTGCAACTGTGTGTATCAGTTTGTGTACTGATGCCCCTCCACAATCTGCAACTGTGTGTATCAGTTTGTGTACTGATGCCCCTCCACAATCTGCAACTGTGTGTGTCAGTTTGTGTACTGATGCCCCTCCACAATCTGCAACTGTGTGTGTCAGTTTGTGTACTGATGCCCCTCCACAATCTGCAACTGTGTGTGTCAGTTTGTGTACTGATGCCCCTCCACAATCTGCAACTGTGTGTGTCAGTTTGTGTACTGATGCCCCTCCACAATCTGCAACTGTGTGTATCAGTTTGTGTACTGATGCCCCTCCACAATCTGCAACTGTGTGTATCAGTTTGTGTACTGATGCCCCTCCACAATCTGCAACTGTGTGTATCAGTTTGTGTACTGATGCCCCTCCACAATCTGCAACTGTGTGTGTCAGTTTGTGTACTGATGCCCCTCCACAATCTGCAACTGTGTGTACTGATGCCCCTCCATGCCATGACAAAAGATTGTCAAGAATTCTCTCACATGTTTTTCATCTCTCTCTCTTTTCACAGATCTTTCCAGTGGTCACAACATGTTCCATTTTCTCTCCCAAAAAAAAAAAAAAAGATGACTGTCTTTTTCTGATAAGTTGTCTTTGAGCACTCACCTCTTTTAAAACATCGACAAAAAGAGGAGACCCACTGTTCTTTATCAGGCATACTGGCAAATGAAACTAATTAGGGCTTTGCTGAAATTAGATGTGTTAGTTTGAAAGCTTAGATATCGCAGCCTAGCTGTAAACCAGAACATTCTACCAGCATCTTAAGAGTGAATGCCCAAGAAGGAGAAGAAGTAGATGAATTAGACTAATTACGGGTTTGATGAAATTGGATGTGTTAGGCCAAAAGGCACTGATATCGCAGCCTAGCTGTAAACCACAATCCAACACGTTACCACCATTTTAAGGGTCAATGCTTGAGGATGAGGGAGCAGCAGCAGCAGAAGAGGAGGAGGAGAAGAAGAGGAGGAGGAGAAGAAGAGGAGGAGGAGGAGAAGGGGAAGAAGAATGTAGAGAATACACAAGACATTCGCAAGTATAAGAAATGAAACTGAAATGAAAATGTTTAGATAGTGAACTAATAGAAAAAGACTACAGGAAGAGCAACATTCTTTGGTCAAACGTGTCAAGCTCCAATAAACACAAATTCACAGTTGAACCATTTACCTTCAGCAGGTCTATATGATCATGGTGTGGAGGTATTTGCAGCAGCATCGCTAGAGACGTGACCCCTGCTTTAAACTCTGCACTCTCAACTGAAACAACAAGCAGTTCACGTGTAAACCTCACACTGAATTAACAAGCAATTAAATAAGTTAACGTTAAATTAAAATAATAATGAATTCATTAAAAACAATGAAATAATAAATTCGCAAAATGTGTCACTTGTTATGCATCATCAAGTTCTCCCCTAAAATAATATTAAATTTATATAATATTTAGCTGGGATAACTTATTTCTTCTTTGCATTCACGGGCTGTAAACTCTGATTAAAATATCTGGTTTTTCTGTCCACTACTAGACGTAAGCCTTGTTCCACAACTTGAGCTTTGGTGCAGATCCATATTTCAGAACCGGCTTATTCATTTGCAGACTGTTGGTTCTTCGCCTCTCGTGCAGATGTACTCTGATTTTAAAAGAAACACCTAATCAGTTGAATCTTATGTCATGCTTGTTAGGGGGGCAGTGTATCTACTATTTTTCTCCCGCAATGGGGACCCGGATGGCATGTGGGGATCTAAATAATTTTAATCTGTGCAACTTTTTAAGAGATCCCTGGGGAAATCACTACAGCCAATCATCTCCAGAGATCAAACTAGATGAAAAAAAACCTGGTGCAATAAAGTCAAGCTTTCCGTCTTTAAATCATTTTTTAAGCTTCCTTTTAATTGAAGAAATATAATGAACACACAGCATGCAAATAATGGTACAACAACTTTTCCTTCTCCCTGCCAGTGGTTTTTAGATAAGGCGGCAATAGGCCTCTATGAAGTCTGTGGTGCAATGCATGATATCCACGGATCCACACAGCTTGGTTTCTTTGGGAATGCCAATAGCCAAACCTGCGATCTTTCTACTGCACACAGAGGGCACATCTGTAGCACATGCTCACCCAAAAAAAACAAAGTCCAGATGGGTCATCACAAATCTCTACCTGATCATGTAACAGGGTAGGGTTAGCAGTTTGTCTCTTCTACAATTGCTGTCTGTCGGATTCAACACCTTAAGATGAGCATCAAACAGAAGTTCCAGAAACCCTCTTCAGCCGCACAAAACAGTAATTTTATGGTACCTGACAGCTACGTGACCTGTGGTCTAGTCTAGGCTGGGTATCAAGACAATATTTCATCTAGCGGCTATACAATTCCTGCAATGCCAGTGAGGCATCACATCCATACATTTTCTGTCTGTGTTAGCAGCTGCCAGGTGGGCCACCAAACAATTTTCCCAGTTTTGGTAGGTCACGGGTGTAAAAGGGTTAAGGAACACTGCTTAAGGTGATCCTCTCCACAGACCGCTAGCCACTCAGTGCATAGAGACTGAGCCTTACGCAGGTTTAATATGGTGCAATGAAGTGTACACTCTCGACTTAAAATATACAATAAACAAACAAATAATGTACTGATCGGCACTCACAGAAAGAAGCAGACAGACAGAAGGACAGGTGAAACATATTTAACCCTTTTTTTAAACCAATCAAGTTTTGTGAACATTTCTACTTACAGTCCAGATTATCTAAAGGATTCGTTGAGTGTAGTGGCTTTTGAGACGATCGTTGTTGCAACTTCTCTGGTGTTACATTTTTGTATTTCTCAGCTATAATGGTAAAAAAAAGGATAAACATATCATAGACAGGACAACAAAGGAAACTAAACCATCCATCAAGTGAAATAAATGTCTATGTTACTCTAGGATACTGTTAATTCAATGACAGATCTGGTGTCTTTAAACTGTAACAGGTCCAATCACCAGTCAAGCAGCTTGGGCATGGTTAGTACTCCGATGGGTGACAGCCTGGGAACACTTGTTGTAGACACGTTTCCACGAAATTAACTCAGTCAACAAATGCCCAATGAAGTCAGATGTGTCGGCTAAAAGGTGCAAATACTGAAATCTGCTGTAAACAGACACAATGCAGTAACATCACTCAGATGAAGGAAAAGGAGAAGAAACTAACAGATTTGCTGCAGTCCATAACATTTAGTTCTGGTAACTGTGGTCCCCCCATTGACTTCTATATCTTTTATAAGAATTCTACATATTCTACTGTGAGATGTTTTTTCTGATTTATTTTTTCAACGTTGTCATGGTAGTCACCAACTAAAGCCTACTATTTATGATCTCCAACTGCTAAAGGGTCTTTAATGAGAAGTGAGCGCACGAAACCTAATATTTTTTTTAAATCCTTATTTGAGAAGACTTGGTATTTAATATACTAGCCTGGGATCAGAAAGGAGTACATCTCGAGTCAAGTAACTATACATCAATGTGTGATAGAAAGAGTTGCTTTGAGCTACAACCTCCATATCTGATGAAGAATTATTCACAGAAAACAAGAACACACCCACTGCCTCCCCAACAAACATGGCGTAGGAGTCAACTAACTGGGGGGCACCCTTCAAAGTTAGAGTGCATCTGCCTGAGAGGCAAGGAACTAAAAGTCTACAAATAAGTCAGATGTTTAAAACGATGTGCACACAAAAACTTCTGGAACATGAACAGCGTCCGGAGGTGCACGAACAACCAGAACTTTTCGCTGGAGTTTACAATCGTTGAACAGGAAGATGAACAAGAAGGTCATTACAAGAAAAAAAGATAAAACTTACTGTCATCCCCAAACTCCAGACGTACTGCATATGCCAGCAACCAGTCCAGCAATGCCCGCCTGTCGCTGACATCGTAAGGACAATTCAACTGTGCCAAATACTGAAACATTACATGACAAAATAGAGTAGGTCACATTTCATGGAAAAAAAACATACAATCTTCTTCTTCTTCCTGTTCACCAGCTGTACACTCTGGTGGAAAATTCTGGTTGTTCGTCCACTTCTGAACTGCAGTCCTGCTCCAGAACCTGAGTGTTGCGTGTGCATCAGTTTTACAGATCTGATTCACTTGAATGCAGACTGTTGGTTCCTTGCCTCTCAGCAGATGCACTCCAACTTCAAAGGAAGCTCCCCAATTAGTCGACTCTTACGACATGCTTTTGGGTAGGCAGTGGGTCTATTCTTGTTTTCCGCACGATGGGGCCCCGGAACCCACACAGGGAACATACAATCAAATACAGAAGTTTGGAAAGACTGCGAATGAAAAGAGAAATAATAAAAGAAATAAAAAAAAAGACAAAAAAATGTTTACCACATTAAAAGCAATAACAGAGCCTGCTGGGACTCCACTGCAGCCATCCTTCACCGTGGAAACAGCACCTGACTGATTGACTGCATGAAAACAATAATGAGACACACAAAGCTAAGTCTGAGACCAGAAACAAAGCTGTTGGAATACATTTACAGATGCTGTTATCCCCATCATCAACTGGTTGTGTTGCTATGTTTCACCAGCACACAATTTATTCTTCCATTCCGTTTTTATTATGTGCAAGCGTTTCAATATCAGTCCAGCACATTTGGCCTCAGGAGCCGCCGTGGTCTAGCGGCTAGATGCTGTGGATCTGAAGGTTGTGGGTTTTTTTTTTTACACGACCTTGGCTCCCGTGGCGACCCAGCTTTAAACTGGTAACAGGTACCGAGCCCTGGGCTACAGAGGCCACTGACGTGATGTTGAGCACATCAGCCACCGAGTACCGCGGTCTATACAATACAGGTCTAGCCCTATATGCCCCAGGCATGAAAAAGGGTCTTTTAGTCTTTTTACCTTTGGCCTCCTCTCACTGTTCATCTTAGCACTTCTTATGGATATCCTCACTTCATCAATCTATTCATCTGTTTGCTTTTGTGAAAATGTCGGCTCTGTGGCTAAGTCAATGCAAACGCTTCATAATGCCGGGATGCCGGGTTCGATTCCAGCTGCGGGCCATCGGCCTTGCGTTGGTTTCGACAGTGGTATCAAGAAAGCCCACCGTCCAGAAAGAAATGGCAAACTACTGGACGTAAAATTGCCCAAGCTAGAAAAAACCACTCACAACAGCGCTTCGTAATGCCGGGTTCGATCCCAGCTGCGGGCCATTGGCCTTGCGTTGGTTTCGACAGTGGTAGGGCCTGTTGGGGTTGGTTCTGCAACGTCCTGTAAAGGATTTGCAACCAACCTTTTGTGAAAATAAAGGTTACAAGGAAATGTGACCAAGTCAAATCAACACAACACATATATCATGTACCTGCTTCAGTGCATCATTCCATCTATCACCTGTAGCAGATCGTAGAGGCTCTCGGTCTTCAATTTTAAAGTGTCTAATTTTTTGGTCTTCTAACCAGAGGACAACATAATGAAATTTATTTTCATCTGCGGAGAATAAAAACAAATAGAAACGGCTGTGTTCAAAACAACAAACAAACAAAAAACTTACGATCTGTTAATGGAAAGCTGCTGTGGTGTACCAGCCAGACCCTCATCTGCAAACTGGAAGGTTGTGGGTTCAGCTCCTGACGTTGCCGGATTTCAAATTTTTTTTTTTTTTTTAAAAATGACCGTGGCGCCCAGGTCTACCCAGACTTAAATGAGTACCAGGTAAAGTCTTGGGAAGTAAAGGCGGCTGGTGTGATGCTGACCACATCACCCAAGGAGTGCTGATTGGTCTATAAAATATAGGTCTAGTCCTATAGCCCAATACACCGAAGGCGTGGATACAGGTCCTTTACTGTTATGCTCATGGTCTGTTAATATGTCAAATATTTCAGACAAAAAAAACAATTTGAATTTCTGAGGGCTCAATGTATCCGCTATTTGAGCATGTGGTCTCCCCGCCATCTCCCTGTTATCCTCTGTAATGTTGCATGTCTCGAAATTGTCAGTGGTCACTAGCATCGTCTGCAGAAACGCTTGAAATTGTCAACGGTTGCTATTATCGTCTGCTACTATTGTCTGCAGTGTTGCGTGTCATGACATTGTCAAGTAATCCTAGTTTTGCCGCGATGTGTTCGTCGAAGGAAGTCCGCATTTTACACATGACTGAGGCCCTGTTAGGGTACTTGTTTGACCGCCATAAGATCAAATTTTGTTATCCGAAACAGTCCCAAATTATCTAGGCCGAAAAAATACCCTAACAGGGCCTCAATCACATATAAATTACGGACCTCTTTTGGATATATTAATCTCTATCCAGCTCACAAAAAGCAATATATAAAACTTCACTAACATCCATAAAATTAAAAACATATTTAATTAAACTAATTTTTTAAGAGGGTAGTCAGGACTCAAGTTGTGAGTGGTGGGTGAGGGGGAGGGAGCAAAGAAAAAAAAAACACCAAGCAAGACTCAAGACGCCTCCATAAATTATACAAACAGTACTAACATGAGACACACATCCACAACACGGATTGTCACTGAGAGGTGTGAACCTACCAGTGATATCGAAACTTTCGGGGTTTGGAAAATCTAAAGCAACAAACTTTCTCTTGAACATTCTGGCAGAAGCCGCGTCGTCCGGCGTTTTACGTTTGTGTGTGAGAGAGTTACCGCTCCTGGTGGAGCTCTCTTGTTTTGAAAATAAATTAATTAATTGTCCTTAGTGTTGCCACTTTGGATGTTATACATCCAAAGTTAGATGTTTTTCCTTGTACAAGTCTTACTCTCGGGCTCGACTGATTACTTTTGTATAACAAGCATCCTCACTGTCTCTATTTGATAGCTGACAGTAAGAGAGAAGCATCAATCTATCTATCTATCTATCTATCTATCTATCTATCTATCTATCTATCTATCTATCTATCTATCTATCTATCTATCTATCTATCTATCTATCTATCTATCTATCTATCTATCTATCTATCTATCTATCTATCTATCTATCTATCTATCTATCTATCTATCTATCTATCTATCTATCTATCTATCTATCTATCTATCTATCTATCTATCTATCTATCTATCTATCTATCTATCTATCTATCTATCTATCTATCTATCTATCTATCTATCTATCTATCTATCTATCTATCTATCTATCTATCTATCTATCTATCTATCTATCTATCTATCTATCTATCTATCTATCTATCTATCTATCTATCTATCTATCTATCTATCTATCTATCTATCTAGCTGTCTGTCTGTCGATATTTGCAAGCACAGGCACCACTTTTATTCCACGCGGATGGACTAAGGTCATCCCCACAACCCAACCCCGGTTACGCCCTATAGGCCAACCCCTCCCTCCCTCCCTCCTTAGACACCTAGTGTACGCTGTTGGCGTCCAGAGTCCAGCCCGTCCCTTTTTTTGCCCCTACCTGCGCGTTGGAGGTATATAGGCTGACCGTCGTTTCATTTGAACGAAGTTTTTTCGCCAGGGACACTAGATGAGTATCGTTTATTTTATACATTAGAGTCCTATGTAGTCACTTCATAGTTAGAGCATATTTGTGTATGTGTACTGTGTTGTCCTTTATGTGCTGATGAAGGCTAATCGCCGCAACGTCCTTTGTTTGTTTATTGTGATCGATTTTGTAAAGCTAACATAAACTAATTGTTGTTTCTTACCAACTTTTTCTCTTCCCTATAATTTTCTACTCCTTATAAAAACTTGTATTTAGATGGCGTTTTTTTTTTTGACGTTTAGATGGTAGATGTTTTTCTATATGTTTTCATTTGAAGTAAATTTATCAAAACGAACATAAGAAACAGGATGAAATGTGACCTCTTAAATGCTATCTTGACAATACAATTTTGCTTGATAAGAGTATGAAAAGGCTGTTCCACTTATCAGCTCCCTGACTGGGTATTAAAAAATTAGAACAGCTAAAGCATACCAGAGTCATTTTGAATCTAAAACTTCAACTTCATCATCCAAGCTAAGTTTATCCTGTGGATCTTGTAAGGCAGACTTCAGTAAAGATAAGGACATAATTATATAGGGTAAGTCATATCAATTGCTATGTCATTTGTGACTCTTTCCGTTTCGATGTTTTTTCTAGATGTTTTCCACGACTCTGTTTTGGATGTTTTTTGTCAAAGAAAAGTGGCAACACTGATTGTCCTGTTTGTGCCATTATAGAGTATGTCACATTGGGCTAGCTTCTATTCCTTCACTCCGTTTTATCTTGTGCAGTTTACATAAATAAACAGAGAAGGAACCATTTAAGGTGGTAAAATATTATATATATATATATATATATATAATAAACAGACAGTAAATTGATAGGCACATAGAAAAAAGCAGACAGCTAGAAGGACACTAATCGAAAGCCATAGTTACTGTGCCGAGAGTCGAACTTGTCTCCTCAAGATGACGTGTACGCCTCGCTATGGAAACATACATTAACCATCTGTCTGGGCTATCCTCAGAATAACGGTCGTAAATTATCGAGGAGGAAAATATACCCTAACAGAGCCTCAGTCACGTGTCAATTGCGTACTTCCGTCGTCTTAAAATGCGCGCTTGCGTTCCACCACCGCCGAATTGCGTACTTTCGGCAACTTCCGCCACCGCCGAGAGTGTCCCCCACGCCGCGTGGATTGGGGCTAAACTAGATGGCTAGGACTTAAGAGCAGCAGCTACCGCATCTCCTGCAGCTTCCTTCATTTTATTTGCTCGTGAGTCCTAGCCATCTAGTTTAGCCCCGCAAGTCTTCTTCTTCTTTGCGTTCGCCGGCTGTAAACTCCGGCGGAAGAGTTCTGGTTGTTCGTCCACTCCTGGATTCTAGTCCTGTTCCAGAAACTGAGTGTTGCATGTACATCGGTTTCACATGTGTGAGTTATTTGCATGCAGACCGTTGGTTCCTTGCCTCGACTTCGACGGAAGCTCCCAATTAGTCGACTCTTACGACATGATCTTGAGCAGGCAGTGGGGCTTTTCTTGTCCCCCCCCCCCCCCCCCCCCCCCCCCCCCCCCCACAATGGGGCCTTGGCACCCAGACGGAGAATTATCACAAGAAAAAATTGCTTGACGCCCCGTTTGGAACTTCCTAACGCCCCGCCCCCGCCCCAGGTTTAAAGATCACTGGTATACTTAGAGCGCGCTGACGATCAATGCTGACTTTGAAGTTATCTTGAGTGCCGACAGGTTCTACGTGGTAGTAGTGGGGCAGCAGCAGCAACAGTAGGATTCTGTAGTAGCAGTAGCAGCAGCGGCAGCAACAGTAGGATTAGCTGTAGTAGCAGTAGCAACAGCAGCAGTAACAACAGTAGTATTAGTGGTAGTAATATCAGCGGCAGAATTAGTAGCAGTGGTAGCAGCAGTGTAGCTGTTGTTATTGTTGTGGTTGTAGAAAAAGAAGAAGAAGAGGAAGAAAACGGACAACACTGCTGTGTCGTCCACCAGAATATCAACTTCTTCTTTTGGGAATACTTGTATCTACATTGTGCTAATTCCACTTCCAACTGTACGGGAGGGGGAAAAGGAAGGGGGTGTGTCGACCACATTCCACCTGCTGTGAACAGGTTTCGCTGCGCAGCGTTCAGTTATATTTGTTGCTTGGTTTATTAGTACTAAGTTTACTGGCTGAGATGTGTATTCCTCCTAGAAGTTGCGTTGAGTTGAATCAAGAATTGATATCACAGCACTCAGCGCATTCCCATACGTGCTTGTCCTCATCTGCAGCAGCCAGAACAGAGTTCCAGTACTGATGTTACCGGTCACAATCTGGTTATATATCCGTCTTGCCTTTCCTCTGAGTGTAGTGAGCCGGCCAGACCCTCTGGTTACACCCAGGTGCCTTATTCTCTGGAGGCCATAATAATCTTGTTTCTCTACCAATTCCGTTGCTTGTTCCCAGAGGGCCTTGACCACATCTGCCTTGTCGTGTATCAGTTCACTACCCAGTGGTGCAGATCAAGCCAATATGTCTGACTGTTCATTACCCACTACGCCAGCATAGCCTGGAGAAAAGATCTAAAGTATGCTCACTACCCCTAATCTTCCAAGTGAAGCTTGCCACTCTGCTCGCAGCATCACTGCCTTCACCTTTCTCAGCATGCTTTCAGAGTCAGTTACAATTATGTGTATGCATCTTGTTATCTAGCCACCGGAGAGCTGCAGTAACTTTACTCTCCCAGGAGTAAAAACTTAGTGTCTCTAATGGAGGTTCATGCTTACTCCTACATGTCATGATCTCATGTTTGGTCCTGTGTTGCCTGATCCTCTTGTTGTTTGTGCTTCCTTTGCTCTGGGTGTCGTATGTACTTGTTGTTTGAGCTTCCTTTGCTCTGGGTGTCGTATATGCTTCCTTTACTCTGGGTGTCGTATGTGCTTGTTGTTTGAGCTTCCTTTGAGCTGGGTGTCGTATGTGCTTGTTGTCTGTGCTTTCTTTGCTTTGGGTGTCGTATGTGCTTGTTGTTTGAGCTTCCTTTGCTCTGGGTGTCGTATATGCTTGTTGTCTGTGCTTTCTTTTGCTCTAGGTGTCGTATGTGCTTGTTGTTTGAGCTTCCTTTACTCTGGGTGTCGTATGTGCTTGTTGTTTGAGCTTCTTTTGCTCTGGGTGTCGTATGTGCTTGTTGTTTGAGCTTCTTTTGCTCTGGGTGTCGTATGTGCTTGTTGTCTGCGCTTTCTTTACTTTGGGTGTCGTATGTGCTTGTTGTTTGTGCTTCTTTTGCTCTGGGTGTCGTATGTGCTTGTTGTTTGTGCTTTCTTTACTTTGGGTGTCGTATGTGCTTGTTGTCTGTGCTTTCTTTACTTTGGGTGTCGTATGTGCTTGTTGTCTGTGCTTTCTTTACTTTGGGTGTCGTATGTGCTTGTTGTCTGTGCTTCTTTTGCTCTGGGTGTCGTATGTGCTTGTTGTTTGTGCTTCTTTTGCTCTGGGTGTCGTATGTGCTTGTTGTCTGGGCTTTCTTTACTTTGGGTGTCGTATGTGCTTGTTGTCTGTGCTTTCTTTACTTTGGGTGTCGTATGTGCTTGTTGTCTGTGCTTTCTTTACTTTGGGTGTCGTATGTGCTTGTTGTCTGTGCTTTCTTTACCTTGGATGTCGTATGTGCTTGTTGTCTGTGCTTTCTTTACTATGAGTGTCGTATGTGCTTGTTGTCTGTGCTTTCTTTACTTTGGGTGTCGTATGTGCACATGCCTTGTGCCGTTAGATGCCCCAGTTTAACAGACAATCGGTAATCGAGCCAGGGCAAGCTCGATTTCTTGATATGCTGTTATATTGGGAAGTCTGAAGTTGTAATTGACTTCCTCGATCCATATCTTCTAAGTCTGCCTCTGTTTCTTGGTGTTTCCACTTTCATGTTTTATGCTCTCGTTGCCAGGATCGTTGCTTGCATTCTTCCTGTAAATAACCAAACAGTTTCAGTCTTTGTTTCTCGGTGAATGCAACCATGGATTTGTTTCAAAATTCTTCTTCTTCTACTTCTACTTCTTCTTCTGCTTCTTCTTCTTCTTCTTCTTCTTCTTCTTCTTCTTCTTCTTCTTCTTCTTCTTCTTCTTCTTCTTCTTCTTCTTCTTCTTCTTCTTCTTCTTCTTCTTCTTCTTCTTCT